ATCATTGGGCACATTTTAAAGACATCTCAAGGTCCCAAGAAGACCCTTAGGTGCACAGGCAGCAATAATAAGAAGCACCCATTTTACAGTCATCCACTCTCAGGCCAAAGTGAGGGCTTTTTTGTGTTTTTGTGGTGAGAGAGAGCGAGAGGGGGGAAGAGAGAAATTTCTCTTAAGATTCTTGCTTTTTTCCCCTCTATTTATTAGGGTAATGAATTTCCGACTGCAGTGCCAGTTCCACTGAGCCTGCTTCTCGGCCTAATTCTCTGTAACATTTCCTCATTGCCGCTGGGGAACATTATATGAAGGCAGGGCTTACAATACCATCAATATGCCCAAGACGACAATCGGACGTCTCATAGATATTAATGGAAGTGCAAATTAAATCAAAGTTGGAGTGCAGCTATCGGGGCTATGATCAATGCCTTTTGCACAGTCAGATTTAATATGGGGTTTGTAATTTGAGTATCCAAACAAAATGTGCATCTTAATGGGAAAGATGAAAGTAATCCCACATGGGGAGGAAATAATACATTAGCTGCATTGTAATTAGAGAACTCGGAGTGCAATGTTTCACCAGCTCAGTATTAATGTTGAATAAAAGCCTGATACATTTACGATGTGGATACAGGATGTGGACATTTGAATTGTTTTTTAGATACCTCTTGAGATGCCATAGGAGGTATCTTTGACAAAAACAATCATAATCATGTTGGATAAATACATTAGTATCAAAGTCGTGTAGAGCAAATAAATAAAATAAAATAAAATACAGCGATGCTGCTTATCAGTCTAGTGCTGTGATTGATAAAGCAACAGGAACACATCTGTGTTTATGCAGTCATGGCAAACAATGAAAGAAAAACACATCAGGTATGTTATGGTATGATTATGATGTATTTGATTTGATTATGAAAAATCCTATGTTTTAGTGCCAAAAAATTTAAATTGGAACAAAACAACAAAAAGTATGTGAAACATGATTTTGGTCCAAAAAAAAAAAAAGTTCTTAATAAAGCCTGATTGTGCATGTCACCTCACAAGCATTCAAACAGAATACGATTTAATAATGCAGCTTGACAAAGCCCTTGCACTTTTAATTATTGGCAGTCCTTCTGAGTACACACAGCAGCCAGTTAAAGTGACCCCATGTAAAGTCAGCAGGTAGCACAAGGAGAGCAAACAGCAAAACAGCTTTTCAATGAATAACTCATGAGATATCAAACACCAGTAGACAATGATGCAGTGCCTTCATCGAATCAAGTGCAACACAGAAACACATGAGGACACAAAGGGCTCATCAAACTTGATGCAATATCTCATGATCAAAATGAAACACTGATCAATAGCTGGTGCCAGTGTGCTTTGGTTAGAGGAATTTAACTTAAATAAACAGACATGAAATTCAAAATTATTTTTTGTGTTGGTAATTTGTGTCCTAAATTAAGAAAAAATATTTTGACATTTGGGAAATATATGCTTATTTGCTTTCTTGCTGGGAGTTACATGCGAAGATGGATACGACTCCTGCGCATGTATGCTAAATATGAAGCTAGCTCTAGCAGCCTTTGCATAAATGTAGGCAGGTTAAGACAGATAGCCTGGCTGTTTGGAAATAACAGAATGTCTGCCAGCAAACCTAAAGAAAATGTCATATCTTGATTGTTTGATATATATAAAAATTTAATTTGAATAAAGTTTTGGTTTTATGCTAAGTGACTCTATAGCCACGTTTCCACCGCAGGAACTTTCCCCAAGAACCAGGAACCTCTTGAGGAACTATGAACGTTTCCACAACAGGAACCAGGGTCTAAATTTAGTTCTGGGTTAATTGATCGACCCCCAAAAAGATACCTGGTCAGGGTTAGGTTCATGAACTTTGGGAGAAACTGAAATGCGGCTTAAGCTACTGCTGCTGGCAGTAGCTACATACTTACGGTACGGCCATGAATGCCGATCTTCTCATTTAACTCTCAGTTAACACGACTGCTTACTCGAATGTGGAACTCTTGCTATAAGCGCAACACAGCATTCAGTGTCAAAATAAATTCACTTTTTAAAAAAAATAATAAAACAGGAAACTTTGTGAAGATCTCTGAAATATCAGTCTACTACTGCAAGATACAGTAACTACTGCATGTGTATTATCTTTTCTAGCTACTGTCGTTCAAAAATGGACAGAAACATTTTCTTAACATACATTAATGAGCTTTCAAAGCAATGGCTGACAGCTAAGTTAAAATTTCACATATATTTTAAAATGGCCAAGTATTTTGGCTGCAATGAAGATCAGAATTTCCCATCAGGTAATTAGTCAAATTAAATCGTCTTGGGTCATTAAGTTTGAAGTTCACGTAGCACTACCAGCCCTGATTAGAAGATAAATGCTGACATTTTCCTTTTGCTGTTGCACAGTCCTACCTCTGATGATAGCATCGGGGGGCTCAACTCAATTCATAAGGGATAACATTTCATCTTCAAACACCTCTCTGAGTGGGTATGTAACAGGACGCTGTAATCCATCAATAAAAGTGTATTGATATTGTCAAATGTTAATATGTCATCCATAAACCCTTGGGCATTCTTGTCACCAGGACACAGCCCGCTCAGCAGCACACATTGCCTCACGGTGTTGTTCAGCATTGACCCAGGTCTTCCTCTGAGCTGCTGCTGCTGTAAAATGTTGCCTGCCGTGACTGAGTCAAGCATTAATCAAAGCTGATTTGAAGAAGGAGCAAGTGCCTTTTCCTGCTGGAGAACTGTTTAGCACAACAGTGCTATGTACAACAGAGTCCCACTCTTCAGTGTAATGGTAGCAAAAGGAGGTCATAAATAATGGATTCAAGATCACTTACACCTCATGAAGCAGGCTTTGGCGTTCGAGGAGATATCACATTTTGCAGCTCAAATTATAGATTTGGCTCTTTTGACTGCAATTGTAAAGAAAAACAAGACCTCTCCAAGAGGGCTTTGGAAGAGTTTAATATGGTGCAAAACATGACGGCAAAACAACAGTTTAGATACTGCAGCTAAATGATGGTAGTGAATAGCTGGCAACACAAAGACTGTGAGCAAAAAAGGTTTTGGTTTACTTGTGTTTGACAACTTTTTGCATTCCTGCTGATAGACTTTGGGGATGCAACAATCACATGTATTTGCAATGGCTGTCAAAACTAACCACATTGTGTTCAAATGTCACCTTTGTCCATTGTGGAAAAATATAAATGAAAAACACAGAGGTTAACTGAAATCCTATTTGCCTGGAGTAAAGATTTGGTCTGTTGATGCTGGTGTATATTGCACTTTATCAACCAGTGTTACAGATTCATATTTGCACTTCATTTTCTCTAAACTTTAAGAACTATTCCAATCTGCTCTTGAAAAATGATGGATTTAATTATATTTTTAATGCATTTGAAATGTAACTGTCCACTATCAAACCACATTTAATTGAAAATATATTAGTATTTATTTAGCATTTCTCTGTCTCTCGTGTTGAGCTGTTTGCATACTAGAATTGGAGAGGTGTTCTTATTTTATCGTAATCTCCTCACATACACATAAGGCAGAGTTCACTGTTATTACCTTTAGATAATAGCAAATAATGTGATAACCTCTTGTTGTAACTTTGTGTCAGTGCTGAAGCTGCCTGTCTTTATACTGCCCCTCAGTGGCAAGTCGGGGGAAAATGCCTACAAAAAAAGACAAGTTGCCTTCTTCTGAACAATTCTGCAAAATCTTGCATGCACACGTTGTGCCAAAGTTCGATATTTCACCATAAAATATGAGGATAAGAATCCCAATAATTCCTAATGTGCCAATACAGCTGGAGATAAATAGCAGAGAGCAGAGGAGATGATCAGATCTCACTCCATATCTTAATGGGATCCTCTCACAAGCCATCCCCCATTAATGACCAATCCCCCAATTATGTAAATCAGAAAACGGTCACTAACAATGAGAAATTGAAGTTGCTCACATAAACACCAACAGTGTCACATTGCACAGAGTGCTAATTGGCCACTACTTTTCACATAATTGCAGTGACTGGGGTTACGTCCTCAGCTCACCTCTCCTTTAAGTATTGTTTTTCAGCACACAAACAGTTAATGGAGCAATTAAGATGGCACTCACAAGCACCACTTGTGGGGACCATTTGGCAAGAAAGAGCTGCAGAGAGGTGGACTGGGATGCTGTAATCCTGCATATGGTACACAAGAGTCCAGGGGGAGCGGTAAGTCAAGCTGGAGACAGTGCACAATACAACTCGCTGCTATCCTGTGCTGGTGGTGGTCACCCCTGAACCGATCACTCGCTATTATAGGCACTGTCTGTGACATTTAAAGCTAATAAACAAGGTTTTACTCCTGGTGCCAATATATACTGTGTAACATACAGAAGATACCACAGCTTAGATGTGTTAGTTTATTTGGTTATGTAAAAATCACACATATAGTCAGTCATGCACTGTACTCATGCACAGAAGCCTTCGTTCATTGCAACTGTCATTCCTTTATTATCCTCTAAAGCACTTTGAACTGCATTTGTATGAAATGTAGTTATAAAAAGATAAGATAAAAAAACTCAACTTTTCCATGATACAACAGAAAAATATCAATTTCTCTCAGTGGCATTTAAGACACTGACAGTCACATTCAAAAAAAACTGTTTAAACAGACTTCAGTGGATAAAAAATGTCAAGAGAATATGCAGCAGAAGTTGTGACAAAACAATTGGGACGGGTTTTAAAGAAAAGTTACAGTTTTCCTTTTCACTCTTGGACTTTTCCCCAAACAAGTCAGCAAATATCCACTGTGTGATAAGAAGACTGATGGCTGTTGCACCGCTATTATTATGATACAGTTTTTTTGATTGCTGACCAAAAGTTAACACTGCCGTGAATGTGTCAGAGGGAGATAATGTGAATGCCACCTATTTCTGAGACTAATCCCAGGAGAGTGAAGAGGAAAAAAAGTTTTCATCTCTTCATCTACCCCCCTCTACCACAGACTTTGCCCACCCTCTATGACTAAGTTATGCCCTGTCATGTAGTCGGAGGCGTCAGATGCCAAGTAGACCACTGCAGCTTGCAGGTCTGTCACTTGAGCCAGTCTACCAGCAGGGATATCTGACAGCCAGCGCTGCACCAGAGGCCTCAGACTCTCCGAGTGGATGAGAGGGGTGTCAACAATCCCCCTGAAAAGAGAGACAGAGAAAGTGCGCAAGAAAGAGGAAAGAAAAAAAAAAAAAAAAAAAAACATGCATACAATGAAATCAGAAGGCATCACAGTTCAGAGCCAGGAGTGACAGCGTTGTTTCAGAGCCACCACTTTGGTGACAAAAATAAACCCAATTATCCTTTGAAGAAAGGGCATGGCATGGCATCTCTGATATTTACTGTGGAACTGGTGGCACTTTAATGACTGGCACATCTCAGGAAGAGCCCACGGGTACGAGGGGACGTCTGGCATAATTTGCTCGTAGCCTTTGGTTAACTACTTATTATATGCAACTCCCTCATATTCCTGATTGAAATGTGCTTGAATTACCTTGCCGAGCTGATGTTGAGACAGATGAATTCAAAAGAAAACAGGTGTGCTGCTTTTCGTTTTGTGTGCGGCTGCATTGTCGTCCAACATCTCCGTGTCACAACAAATGCAGTTCCTTCCACCTCCTCCAGTAAAATATCACAGAGCTTACATTTGAATAAATATGTCAACATGCCCGCTTGTTCCTAAAATGAGACAACTTCTGACTTTCTACATAATCGACGTGACAGTGACTAAAAGCCGCAAGGTCTGAATCATTGTTCGATGTATCCCGGCGCCTTGATATGGAATTCCAACATTTGGCTAAATTAGCACTTCCAAGGAGCGTGTGACACCTTGGTTAACATATTCCACCTCAATTATATTTCTCTTCAGCTGCCCTGTTATCTGGAACCTTTCCTGGCAATCAGAGGTACTGTTTTCCCTCAGCCAATTTTCTAGATAATGCAGCTTATCACCGCTGCGGCTAAAGTTGCCAATGGAATCAGGCTCCAGTCAACCTCGTGAGCGCTAATTGTGTCCCTTTTTTATGCATATTTACCGACTGTCACTTCAAAGAAATCAGCAGCCCATTGAGACACCCAGTTAGCGAGGGGAGAGAGAATTGCTTCTTTGCAAATTAAAATTAGCAAACAAGCTGCCGATAAATAAGGCTGAGCGCGGCGCGTGTGTGAGGGCTTTGTTCTGGGGCTGTGACTGGGCCTGGCTCGCCCGGTGCCACCGGACGGATTTGCTCAGGGATGGCTGGGGCTAAGGGATGCTCCACTTAACACACACACAAACGCACACTCCCCCCTACACACACAGACACATACACATACAGCCCTTCCTGTGTTCTCCTCTTTTCTTCCCCATGCTCAGCTTCACAGACAAATAGATACAAACAAGGCGCTATTGTTGCAGCGACACTTGGAGTGAGGTTGCAAATTTGATTCCCTAATTGAATAGAACAATTAGAGCAAGTGTTTGGTTGATTCATCCCTCAAGACGTCATCTAATTAAGCACTGATGCATTGTTTGAGGACTTAAATTAGTGCATCATTCTCAAATGGGGCTCTTCATATGAAAGCAAACACACTAATCACCACTTCCTTTTGCAGCTCAATCCCTTCACCACACTCAAAAAGGTGGACCACAAAAGAGAAGACGGCCAGGAATAGACAGCACTTACGGTGAGATGCAGTTGACACGCACTCCTCTGTCAATCCATTCGGTGCCCAGGGTCTGAGTCAGTTTGACCACTCCAGCCTTGGATGTGTTGTAGGAAAGCTGCTTCTGGGGATGTGGGACTGCAGGGTAGAGGTGAGAAAATCAGTTACCCTAAATGGACAAAAGCACAGCGACTCACAAAGATAACATTCACTGCATCATTAATAACAGTATGTACTTTTCTCAGGTAATCATTAAAATGTTCTGTTTCATTTTTTACCCAGGAAAAAACGAGAACAACAATAGTTCTTCTCTCAAGGGGGCGATCAACCTATACATTTTACTGTATATTGCAGCCCATGCAGCTTCTTGTGGGCACTACATAAAAGCTCTTCCATTAGCTGCTGGTGGGACTCTGCGGATAAAGCCATGTAAAATTAATTGCTTATAATGTCCAGTTATGCTCTGTCCTCAGCAACAAAGGCAGGGAGCCATTTGTTTGCCTTGACCATCACAGATGCTGCACACTGCATGGGATTGCCGGGACAGGGGCTCATTTTCTGCTGGTTGATTAATCATCACAAGGAAGGCTCCAAGTTACATACAACTTTAGTAGTTAACCTCATCACCTGCCGATCTGACTGCCAAATGGCTTCAGTGTGAGACTGGGATGATAAATACTGGCCAGCTGCAAAGAGGCAGGGACCGGTCCTGGGGAGAAAAGGCCGGAGCATCCTGCATACATTGCTGGGATGGAAAAAAAAAAAGGAGGAAAATGTGCAGGACAACAGGGGTAGAAGTACTGAAGAAATGAGATGTAAAGGGTAGGACAACAGCATCATAGCTGAGTGTGGTTGAGTGGGATTTTGTAGAGTGTGGCGAGATAGCAGAAGGTAAGGTTGGGCAGGGCTGGATAAGGGTAGGCTAGGACCTCAGAGGAGCAGGCGAGGAGGAGCAGAGCCCAGGGCTTACACGCAGATTGAAGGTGAAATCCGACTTATCAGGACAGGAAACACAGCTCAAAATGCCTAACAGCACTAATCCTCACTCAAGACCTGATGATACGGCCCCCAAATACCATTCAGAAAATGCCTTCATCCTTTAAATAAACCTGCATTGATGTTTTCGCCGTCTTAAAGAGCAGTAATCCCCAGAGAAGGAAAAAGGAGGTAGAAGGAGAGCATTCTCCAAAGCCCTCTTTAACATTCACCCTGCTACTTATTGCCCATTTCAAGTGGAAGAAAACATGCTCTTTATCAGACGAGCCTTTAAGTTTTGAATTCTTCCGAGCAGATAAGGAGTTCAAATGATGCACTCTTTTCCCATAAAAGATGCTAATGTGCGTTACCGGGCAGCTGAGATCTGCAGGTGTGGGTGTGTGTGTGTGTGTGTTTGTGTGTGTGTGTGAGTCACAAATCCCTCAGTAAGGTCACCGTGCGGTGTGACCATATCAGCTTGGATATTTCCTGTCTGGGTGTCATTCAGAAAAAAAAAAAAAAAAAAAAAAAAATTTGGGTTGATGTGTGTGTGCGCGCATGTGTATTGAGGTAGTGTTAGTGGGCTCACACACACACATTGTATTCAGCAGATGGACAAAAAGCTGTCATTGTGCATTTTAATTGGGCATTTACTGCTGCTTTTTGGGCTTCCACTTGGCTTGAACAGGTCCCATCTGATTACACATTATGACAATATTACAACAGATGTCCAGACCAATAAAGTAAATTCCTGAAGGACTGTACGTAATGTGAGTAATTGATCATTTTTTTTATGCCGGCCTCTATTTACCAGCATGCTCCTGTTTTACAGATTGCCCCCGCAGTCGGGACTGGGGCCCATATGGCACAGCGGGTTTACTGGCGATTTGACTATACTGCTGATGAAGTGTTGCCGTTCCTCTGGAGGAACCTGTTGGAGGAGGAATATTACACCAGTGCTGCGAATTACAAGGCTTTTACTAGGCTCTCACTAGACTCTAAAAGTGTCTTCCGCTGTTCAAACAAGGCCGCTGGCACAGGCTGAGGTTTTGCCGTTGCACAGGAACCCTCCCTTCCCAAGTTGGACCTCAGGTTGCCTTCCACATCCTCCAGACAGCTCCGCAGAGAGGGGATGTTTATTATGATGCAAAACCGCCTCAGCGAGACGCAATCACAACACTTTGTATTTCCTGCTGTGCTTACTGTATGCAGGAGTGGATGCATCGCTATAGAACAGTTTAACTGGGGTAAAAGTTGCAAAGAGAAAAGCTGCCTAATCCTGTTTTAAATGCGCAGGTTCACTTTAAGTTTTCTCGCAAACACGAAAACTGTAAGACGCACTTAAAGCTGATTCTCCTCCTTGTTTCAGCTTCCTAAATGTAACAATCTAAAGTCAGATATGACGACTTTCTGTCTGATGATAAAAACTATTTAATGTGATGTATACTCCCACACATAGCTGTACAGCACAAATGTATTTAACTCTCTTACTTCCTCCCCCTCCTCCTCTCAGCCTCAACTCTCCACGCCAAATGGAGAGATTAAAAGCAGACATGGAGGGGCTCCAGAGAGAGAGAGAGAGTGGGGGAATAGAATCATCACTCACCTATTAGACTGGCCATGGAGGCTGTGTTGATAATCTTGCCGTATCCTTGCTTCAACATCACTCGACCTGCTGCCTAAGGCGAGGATTCGGGGAAAAGAGCCACATTAAACACCTTATTATGGCACTGATATGCTACCCACAAGCATGAGTACAGATCAACACAAAAACATGTAGTTTATCCTTGGAGACAGACATAGTGGTTAAACAACATTTGGTGCACGTTAGCAGATTTTAAAGCTGCACATAAGGGGTGGTGGGGCAGTGGGGCATATATACACAGACACACACACTAGATAGTAAGGAACTAAATCTAGTAGCTACAGAGTAGGTAAAGCTGGTTGGACCATCAGTAATAAGTCAAACTCTGTAACTAGTCTTGACAGAGATTGACTACTGAAGCAACATGTCATCAAGAATCAGTTTGGTGCTTTCAGCATATTTTCACTAGAAAACTGATGACAGAAATATTTCTAATTGGTGACCAAAATTAATCAATCATTTTTAAAGTTTACATCACTAAAGATCATTTTATAAGTAGGAGAATTCTGGTTTTCATTCATCTGTGCCTGCTGTACAATGTGTCTGAGGAATCATTATTTGTTGCTTTTAAATGTTTCAGATAAAATTATGAGCGAGTGTTCCTTTATGTGACGAGGACATTCTCCCTCTAAAGCCGTTTAAAAATCCATTGGTATATATGAGGAATTGTCACAAAGCTGAAAACAGGGCTGTTTTTTCTTGTGTTGAAAGTTACTGCTGTGGACATACATGCTTTTCACAGGACAGACACATAGTGCCATAGTAGGAAATTTGATTTTTTTCCCCCCAACATGTGTGTATGCAAATAACTACTTTCCCATGACAAAGTTGATATGATCTATAAAAAAAAGACATTTATTTTAATTGATTCTGATTCTGTCTCTGTTGTTGTTTTATTTCTGTTGAGTGAATCTCATTGTTTAGTGAATTGTGGCATCAAGCACTGGTGATTTTTTGGTACTATATCATAATTATGTTCCTTTGTGTTTTATTCCAAAAACCTATAGGTATGGTGGAAAAAAAAAAAAAAATTCTTTCTACAGTGTTTCACAGTAACAGTGAAGAGTGAAATTCTTCTTCTATTCATGAGTTGAACAATTAACATAAATGTAACTTAAACCTTAATTTACTACATTTCATATGTGTATTTTTGTCACATCACACTAGTGCAATAAGGTGAATAAACTGTCAGCAACAGTCTCACACACACAGTCCCAACACTATGTCTTTTCCATCCAGTGATACACACCTGGCAGCACATGAAAGTCCCCCTCAGGTTGACGTTAAAGGTTTGGTCCCACTCCTCTAGACTGGTGTCTTCACTGGCTGAGTTCATGTTGATGCCGGCGTTGTTACAGCCGATGTGGATCGCTCCCCATTTGGAGACAATGCTGTCAATCATCTTCTGGACATCATCTGACTTGCTAATATCAGCTGTGACTGAAACAGCTTTGATGCCTGCATAAAAAAACAACAACACTATGTTATAACACTATGTATACACTGTACCTTTAGTAATGCATGATATAAACAATTTATATCATTGGACATTTTAGGAGTTTGTTTTTGATTACATGTAGAAAAATAAAAACATGAAAAATAAAGCACATGATATAAAATTAAAAAAATCTAATTTAATTAAAAGTACTAATGAATTGTATTTTGCTTCTCTTTTTTTTAATGTGTAGGACCTTTCATTCTGAGGAAAGTAGAGGAAAGATCACACATACAGAAGTTAGATGGAACATGTTTGACCAGGCAGAGTGTATCTTCTCCTGTACTATGCTGCCATCTGCTGGTCACAAACAAAAAACTGACCTCAGTGACAGTTCATGACGTTTGGCACAAATTTAAAGTGTTAGAAAGAATTCATGCAGAAGTACAAGACGTGCCAGTGTTCGTCCCACTAAAGCTTCTTTGCCGAGAGGTACCTTCATCAGTGTGACATTTAATGCTACTGACACTGTAGACTGACCTGTTTCACCAGTCATGATGCTTGAATTCTTTTCACAGGTATTTCATTTTGCCTTGGGACTCTCGAGATGTGACAGATCTTTTTCTACCTTTTGCATCCTTCCTTTGGTTACTGACTGTCATGTGTTTCTGTGAATTTATTGCTCTTTCTAAAGAGCCGCTGAATGAACTCTATTTTATCTGTGACAGGTTAATACATCTGTGTCAATTTCCTTTGGACCTATGTCACAATCCAGGCTGATGTGTGTACATTACAGGAGGAGGATAGAGCTACTGTAGGTACATGCATTGTTATTGTAATTATTATCATCATTATTATAGCCACTTGTAACAACTGTCATTCTCAATAATTAGATGATTAGAGAGGCACTCCCAGATTTTGTTTCAGCTTCAATTAGATCTACAGCTGTTAGTAGAAAGTATATATTTTCTTTACAGTAATCAGTGGTCAGTGGATGTGTTGACTGATGTGACTGTGAGGGGAACAATTATTTTGATAATCAATGAATTGTTTAAGTAAATTTTCAAACAAACATGCCAAATATTTGTTGTTTCCAGCATCTGAAATGTGAGAATTTCCTGCTTAAATAACTTTGAGTTTTAGACTTTTGGTCGGTTGGTGGAAATTGTGATCGGCATTCTTCTGTTTTCTCGTGTTTTACATATAGTGTAAAACACGAAGCTGTATAGTGTTTTACAAGAAGCAAATTAAGCGATCATGAAAAAAATGGTTAGCTGCATCTGCACTGGTTTCTCAAATGAAGAAGTGAATGTAGAGTCATAGTAAAACTAGCATGTGGAAGTAAACTGAAAACATAGATCTGTTTCAGAGCCTGGTGTCTTGGGAGCTGGGGATTTGACCAGCTAGTCTGCACACAATATGGCAATCAAGTACAGTTTCGTTTTCCCTTTGTGAACACACCAAAGTCAGTTCCATTTGGAATATACCACTGGCAGTTTGGAGTTCAAACTAAGATATGCAGTTCATGCTATAAAGTCTATACTTTAGTGATGCATTGATCGGCTCTGATGTCATCGGAAATCTGCATGTTTGCATAAATAATCCACCTGAACAAATTATTTTCATACATTACCATTATTTCTCAGTGGGATATTACGTGTGATGATATGGTAACATATTACACTGAAGTTTGGAGGTTTTCAATAAATACATTTAAAAGTAAAACTTTTTACAGTTTTGGTAAAATGAAATGGCAACAGGTGTTTCCACAATAGCCTGAACTCTGAATTCTGAATGTCTCTGCTACTTCCTGAACATGAACAGTTCAAAAGCTCATAATAACGCCTGGCTGCTGCCCAAAATAAATAATAAATCATAATGAGTTCAGCAGTCCAAACACAGAGTTGAATTTGTGCCTGATGAAAAATGAGGCTTAAAATATGTTACTTAATATTATTTCACCCACCCGAAGCCCATCCACTGTTAATCAGTGTTCATTTTTATGACTCGGCCAAACTTACATTAGCCGCAGGTCCCGCGTTTATAGCTACGATTCACACTTCACTACTATACTTATTGTATTTACATGTCATACCTTTGAGTGAGAGCTCTTTAGCCACTGCCTCAGCTTTAACTTTGTCCAAGTCCACCACAGCCACCTTTGCACCAGCCTCCCCCAGGGCATGAGCGAATGCTCGGCCTATACCCTGACCGGCACCCGTCACGTAAGCCACCTTTCCATCAAGACGCATCCGATCGAGGATGGGGCGCCCCTGGACTCCACGGAAAACCTCATCATCTGTTACTTCACTCTGACAAACAGAAACAAGATAAGCAGACATGATCAGTGACAATGATGCTATTACAAAGAGACACTTGTGCATGTCAGTACGAACACTGGGGGTTATCTAAATAGTACCTATCTAAATAGTACCTGTGTCCTTGTGCACTCAGAGGCCACAGAGACCTGGCAGATAACACTGATGCCATCTCTGAGGGGGATGATGACCTTTAAACAAGATGGAAATCGTTTACATGAAAAAAGGAAAACTTGTAAAAACAAATACGAGCATGTAAAGGTTTGAAACCTACCTGCTCCACACGAGGGTCACTGGAGACAAACTGGTTGAATTCACGAAGCGCCAGTCCGTTGCTATCTGTGGTGTCTTTCAGATAAACCTTGGCCTTGAATAGTGAGTTATCTACACATATGACCCCTCGTAGTTTCAGCAGATTGTTGTCCAGGATGAAGTTGTAGTAGTTGATGTAATTATTCTTGTCAGCATCGATGAAGACCATGTCAAACTGCTCACCTGCAGCAGCCAGTTCCTGGAAGGGACAGATGCTTATTAGAAAACCTGTCATGGGCCCCACAGTTGAAATTATTAACAACGCAAAAAGAAGAGCCTGTGTTGCTGCCTGCTCTGATTATGCAAAGCACCTAGCATAACACCGTAACTACAATTGTAAATGTTAAAAAGGGAAAAGCGCTAGATAAACATGTTATCAGTTTGCGAAACAGTCCTCTTAATCTTCTAAATAGTAAAATCAGTGTTTGGTTTCTTTTCTCTCACTTTCAAGGTGTCCATAGCAGATCCCGTTTTGACAGTAATCTTCTTTCCATGCGGAGACTTGTCAAAAATGGGCTGAGCAAACTCTTTGAGGTATGGCTCTAACTCGCAAGCAACTAAGCAACCGTCCTCAGGAAGCCCCTCGGCCATGGACAGAGCTCCGTAGCCAGTGAACATCCCAATCTCTAGGATCTTCTTGGCTTGACTCATGCGAACCAGCATCTTCAGGGTCTGGCCTGCCAAAAAACACACCAGAGAACATGTTATTAAATGGTAAATGTGTGAATACAACAACAGTAAGCAGTACATATGTAAATGTCCAACCTTCAACATGTCCAGTGATACACTCCTTGGGAAGCCGGAACATAGTTTTGCCGTCCTTGTGCACTTGATCCCAGTCATGAGAAACTGTTTTTCTACAAATAATGATATTAGCAAGAGTTACCTCATGATTCTTATTTCGAGCTGTGGATGATTAATGTATCCAAAGTAAGGACATACTCATATAGCTCTGCCAGAGGTTCACTTTCCTGTGTGGTCATTTTCTCCAGGTAGTCATCCAGGCCGCTGGCGATGTCCACTGCCTTCTGCAGGTGACTGGTCAACTCTTCTGGGACATTACCACTTGATGCAGCTATCTCTCTGGCTTTTGTCAGGAGATCCACAAGGACCTCCACTGGGGTGTCAGGAACTAGTGGAATAACAGAGAGTAATTTTAGTTTGGTAATTGTGAAGGAATTTTTCCTTCTTTAGGTGATTGTTTCCACAGGTCACTTAACACTAAGCCCTAAAAGCAATAGTTAACCGTCTATCTCAAAGATTGCCCTGGAGACGCTGATAGAGTCAAACTGGCTCATAACCCAACAGCAGCTGCCATAGCAACCAAGGTTGTAAAGATATGATGGACAGAGTGTCCGGTTGAAGGAGTGAACAGTCATAATACTGGAGCCCTTCAGGGTCACAAGATACGCAGTCTGCCAGTGGGACGACATTGGTATTGAATGGAATATACAATGTGACTCAGGCGAATATGAATTATTGCTTAAAATCTGGTTCCCAATGGAAACTTCACCATGTATGAATAGGTGCTGTGGTCCAGTGAAGAATATCCTTGTTTGGATATGTAGTAGGTTTTGTAGGATTTAAAATACCCCTTGCAAGGTAGATGAGGTAGAAAGATAACATTCAGAACTGGGCGGGATTACATAGTGTTAACTTGTATTGCTAATGTCAACCAAGCTTCAACAAATGCTTCTGTGCAAGACATCTAGGAGGTCTCCCATCACAAGTTAACCAGCTTGCAAGAGTTCAGGCTGCAATAATAAATTAATAAAGTATGTTCATTACCCGGTGATCTGCGGATCATTTTCTTATTTTTTTCATTAATTGTTTGGTCTATAAAGTTTCTTTTTGACCTGTGACCTCTTATAAAAAAGCAGTGCCTAGCTGGGGCCCCTTATTATGTTTATGGTCCATCCATGTCAAATCAGATAAGGTTGTGTCTTCAAGCCTTGTCTATATCATGGATGATTGTATGACAGAAGATAGTTTTCTGTATGCCAAAACCCTTTAAAGTCTATGCTGGAAGCCATTTTATTTTTATTCTAAGGCCCTAGATCTGGTAAAAATGCAAAATTCCTAAACGAAAATGATATTGAGGGCATTACAAACCCACATTTTTGTGTCAACATGATATCATTTTTTCTTATACAATATTTCATTAAATTTGTGCCAATATGTGAGGCTTCTACCACCAATGAACATGAAGATATGAAGAATAAAACAAGGTGTAGTTGCATATTTTGGTCAGTTTCATAGGACCAAATGTGGTATGTGGTAGCTGATAGGAACATAAAAATGTACATGGAGATTGCTTGATGTATGGTTATTAAGAGTACAAAGTGTCCTTCTGTTTTTCCTTCACATAAAAATAGACATAGATTTGAGATATTTTGCCTGTGGCAGAAAAGCGTCCATTTCAGGACTTCATATTTTGGCATCCTTCATGATACTGAATTACAGAGGATAAAAAAGAGAGGATAAACATGTTTTCAGTATGTTCAACGGAATAGAGCATTTGAGAAACTGTGTCTCGGTAAGATCCTGAATATTATCAAAAATAAGTGTCTTGTCCCCAAAATGTACTGCTCAAGGTATGATCTAATGAGGCCCTGGTAGTAAAGAATATAGCTTGCATTCAAGTTCCCATATTTTACACTTTGCCTGTCTTTTATTTTAAGTTTTGATATGAGAAGATATAGTTGTGGTTTTACACACCCAAAACCATCTCTTAACCATAGTTTTACATTTCTTCTCTCATTGCTTTGCTCCAGAGCATTTTGGGTCTTTTTCTGAGCTTCTCTTCTGATTGGCTGACTGTTTTCTGAGTGGCGCACAGCCAGACCATGCATAGGTGAGAGACTGTAGCCTATTGCTGTAGCTTGGTAAAACTCACCAGTAAATGAAAATGGCGATGGTCAGTCAGCTAAAAATGAACTGACAGTGAAAAAAGACAGTGAAAATCTTACTAAAATACAATGAAATATCACCTTACTGACATCCAATGGATGTGCAAATGGATTTTTCTGTCTTGCAGCTTGCTAGCCCTCCATGCTGGGAGCATGGCTGAGGGTAGTGACTGTGACACTGTGACATCACAAAATTGCGTAAATCCTGATGGCTCTTTTTAAGGCTCAGTTTCTGAATAGAGGCTGTGTGCATTTCTCTGTGGACTGAGCTTCTGATATTTTCACAGTATTTATACGTAACCTATATCTGCATTAAAAATAAAAAGATACATGGAAATCTTTCTATGAGCAATCTAATTTTCTATAGTGAAATGAGCCTATACGGTGGAAACCATGTGTGAGTGTGTGTGTTTAAGTACATGTGCTTGCTGTGCGCACTCATGCACCATGTGACATCTTCACCTCCATGACACAGTGAGTTATTTTTCCCTCCCATTCCTGCTATGCTCACGTTTTGAGACTTTTAAAGTGTGTAATTATTGCCCCTGCTCTCTGACAGCAGCAGGTATGTTACATGAGTGGAGGGTGATGCTTTCACCCTGACCATCCAGACCAGGCTTGGGCCAGGAGAGGACCAAGGTGCAGTTTAGGTTATTTTATCTTTAAATCAGTAAATAGCAAAGCTGTCAGTTTCATAATTAGCATTAATTTAATAAATATACATATACCAGTTAGATGGGAATCTGCATGAGAAATAAAGAAAAAGAAACATAATAATTATCCGCTTACAGTGATCAATTTGTCCTAGACAGATGTGATCACTATAAGAGGTTTCCACTGTAATACTTTAGATAAGATCTATAAACATGGCTGCCCTTATAAGGCATTTTAGAGAGTATATATAAAAAAAAACATCATATAAGAGAGCCAAAAACATATATACAATAATAAAAAATATTATAATACAAACTATTATTTGTATTAGTATACAATAATACTATTACAAAAATATTTTACAGACCTTGTTGTTGAGGGCCAAACATTATACACAAACTCTGAACAAAAGCTGAGATGTTCACTTTCCTGGATTCTGTCTCACTGACACAGAATGACCTACAGTTGTGAGCTGTGAGCAAACATGTCCCCATAGGTTCATTTCTATACATTTTTGATGCCCAAAGATACACAATTGTGAAGCAGAACTTAATTTTTAAAATGTTTTTTTATATTTTCACTCCCATTAATCATCTCATGACCGCTCAAATGTATTTATATTCTTCTTGAATAACCCCTCAGACTTATCTTCTGACTCCTTCAGGGGTGCAGCCCCTAAATTGGAACCACTGTACTAAACAATCTAAATTTAAATTTAGCAGTGAAAACTAGCTCCACCTAAACCAGCTACAACAGTAAAATGGTCTTTACACATTGATGCACACATTTTTTTCTGCAGGACCTTTTTTTTTTTTTACTTTCTATACTGTAAGTGCATTTTGTTGCAGTTTGTTGTTTACGTTTCCACATTTTGGTGTCGTTACTCAATGAGGGGTCCAAAGGTCTAAGACCAGTGGTCTCAAACTTTTGGACCCCACCTTATAAACACAATTAATACTTAGAATAGTACATATGTATTCTGCATGCAAATGTTTTCCTAAGACCACGCACAAGACAACAGGCGTCAGAGCGGCGATAGGAAGCTGCCTGTTGTCAGACACGCGACATTTAGTCTGAAAAATGGGGCACAGATACAAACTGGACTCCAGCGGAGTTTGTTTCCCAAAGTTATAACAGGAGTTAAGCTCTTACGATATTTTCTCTGACCCCGCCACAACTCAACAATTGAGCAACAATCTTACCTTTTTCGGCGGGCATGGTGGCGTTTATGGGCGTGACGAACTCCGGCAGCTGTCAGCCTCGGTGGACACACTTTTAAACGTGGTGGTGGAGTTTCTGTTATATCACAGCAACTATGCAAATTGTTAAGTGAGGGGAGTAACTGGTGACTTACACAACCCAGAGCAAGGGCTCTGAGACAACCTGTCGAATTACATATTATCCAACGGCACGTGGCAAATGTACGGCGTCTCCATTCATCGATTTCCAATACACTGCAGAAAGACCGACAGATAAGGTGGAATGACCACAGGGCTAATAGCAAACGGGGTCCCCCGGTTAAATGTGCAGCTATTCAGGGAGCATCAAAGTGAATTTTTGTAGTATACTGTGGTGCCTAGAGGGGGCACAGCTGCTGGGGGGTGATGGAAATAATGGGTATTTATAGCTCGGACCCAGTGCCCACAGAAAGAGAAAACTGAAAATAGGGGGAGGAGGATACTTTTTGATTTTAACATTTTACTAATGAAAAATTTTGTTTGTGTAGCTTTCAAATTTGTAAAATAGACAACTATAATATTGTAAATATAAAAAAGTGCATGCTGTTCCTTTTCTTTGCCAAATATTTTACTTCTCTAGATAAATTTGACCATTAAAATAATTAAAATGTAACTTTTTTTATACATAAGATTATTATTACAGTTATTTACAGTTGCGAACTCACTTTTTCAAAACTATTCACCCAGTCAGCAAAACAGAAGTCATTGTGGACCAAACTGTGGATCACTTTTCATTGCTGTGACACACTGTGTCCAATGATTACATTCAAAATTCCTAAATGAATTTCAATTAATGAATACATTAATATATTTTGTTTTATTTTCTCACTACAACTAAACCACCACCAAAACTGTGTATATATTTTCCATGTCTACCCACTGTTGTAAAACATAACACATTACTGTAAATGAGACTGACATTAGCTACATTAAATAGAATAAAAAAGAAATTACCTTAACTCCTAAATGAGTTTGAGCACCTGTTTTCATGTGCCGGGAGAGGAAAGGCAGCAGGCGAGGCTGAATCCAGACTGTTTTGTAAATCTATAGGATGACGTGGTGTTTCCCTGTTCTCTCCAGGTAACAGACGGGTTTACAGCCCATCCCAGCATGGTGTCACTTCTCTTTCCACCTTATTCTTCAATTCCTCATCCCCAAAGAAGAATTCTTCTTCTCATAGAGGTGGAAAGTTTTGACCATCAGCCACATGATCAGTGCTTCATGTGTGGACATATAGTATCTGCAGAAGGTTTCCAGGGATGATTCACAGAAATATTATTTCCCAGGTGTATTACATATGAGGACAGAAGGTGTGAACCTGTGGCAAAAAAAGCAGAGGACTGGGTTGACTAGTACTGATGTGTTTCTCTATGGTACACTATGTAGCTGTCCTGTAGATGTATAGTGAATATGTATGGTTTCAGGACCATATCTCAGTGGCTTACTGGGATATCTAAATTCTTAATTTAATCAGCTCCACTTGTGATTTCCTAATAACATCTAATGTGAAAAAAACTAAACTATATTATGAAATGTAAAATATGAAATTTACTAAATTCTTAATATTACCTGAACAGCACTTTCACTGATAAAATTTCTTAATTGCTGAAATTTGGCCTCATACAATTTTGTTTCTCAAATGCAGCTAATTGTTAGCTGATTTGTAGCCTGTATTGTAAATCTGAATTAACACCTTAAAAGCTATGAAATAAGTTAGCAAACAGCTGCTTGTTTGCACATCCAGTTTGGGCAAGTTTATTTATATAGCAACATTCAGACACAAAGCAATTCAAAATGCTATGCAGAGACATTGGAATACATTAAAGTAAAACATTAAGATGACAAAAACAATACAAACAAATTTGAATAAAGAAAAACATGTAAATAAGACATACTAAGAATTCATAAAATCAGATAAGGAACTTTCTCTTTATTACAAAAACTTTTCTTTTTCTTTATCACAGGACACAAATACACCACAAGTTTTGATTACACCCAGGTCAGCCTCTTCGGTGTACATGTGCTGCATTAGCTGTAATCTTTTCATTACTCTGTATGAAAATAAAAGTTGAGCATTCAATGTCTTTTTAGCTCTGTTTTGGTGTCAACTTACCAGCTAGTCAATAAGATTTTAGTCTTTCTGTGTTTTGGTGCTAGTGTAGTGGACTGAAAACCAAAACAACAATAAAGAGTAGCTGATGGGGACTACAGACAGGTGATAATTCTCTTGTAGTGACTACTTTCACATTATGCACATCATTTTGTCTGTTGTTATAAAAAATACAGATTTTTGCAGCTGTAGCCAGGTGACATCTAGGATCATTTACATTCCCGAGGAGGTAAGGAGAAACTGGGTTATAGGGGATAAACAGTGGCATCACACTTGGTGGTGACCTTGTTCTACAATCTCACCGTACTGCGTCAGAGAGAGCTCTTTGTTAATGAGACATTTGCTAGAAGGTCAGACTGTATGCTAGCACCAAGCACTGGTCCAACAGTTATGTCCAACTAAAAACAATGTAATTTAAAGTGATGTCTAGCTCCTCCAAGGTTATTATAACTGTCTTCTTTGTGCTCACCATACCCTCAAATATATGAAGTTATATATTCATGTTATACATAAAATCATAGGTCTGTATACGTGTTATATTTATTGGCTAAAAGGATGAGGGATGTCTGGTGAGGATAGGAATAGATAATGAAATGAAACATTTGATGACCTTGTTCCCCCTATCAGTCTCAATAACCGGGTGAGAGAACTGTTTTCAATTCCCGTGGTCCTTGTTAGCAGCATTGTTATGTAAAATTAAACTGGAACCCGCGCCAAATGTTTGCACAGAGTAAACTGACTTTAAACAACCCGACCTTAAGTCCTAGAAACCTTAACAGAAACGGGATGATGTGAAGCATCTGATTTAACCAAAGAATAACCATTGTGAAGTGTCAGGCTGACAAAAGAGTCAGGGATCACATTATAATAGTTAAAAGTGCTAAAAAAAAATCAAGCAAATATAGGTCTGCTTCAGAAAGCAGCCATGTGTTTACACTGAGCCTCAACTGATGAATATTTTTGAGATGACTGAACACAAAAAACAGTTGGTTTTTTTTTCTTTTGTTTTTGTGTGTGACTTTTGCCTCCCAGCAAAAATGTACTCGGTTCAAAGGCGCCGTTCAGGGGGGGTGGTGTTCTTCCACAGCAGAAACACAGTGACACAACTGACAGCTTTAAATCGCAAATAGGCGTGAATGTGGTGCTCTGTCTGTTTGTGATAAGCAGAATTTATACTTTTACACTATAAATGCATGTTGGGCTGGGGAGACGTCACATGGGGACCTCAAGATTAGTGATTGGTTAGCCTCAGCAGCTTGTTTGTCCTGCAACACCAGTATCTCAGTAAATACTTAAAAACTTAAAAACCTGTTGAGTCTGCAACCCTTCATTGGTCCATGTCACAAAGTAAATGAAATTATGTAAACATAATTACTTATGCTAAAATTTGTATTCAAACAAAAACGGTACAGGGCTGTCTCTATGTTATTTAGTTTAGAATGAGTTCAACTACAACAGGAATGTCAGGAGTTTAAAGCAAGACTCAGTTTTGTGACCGCTGTAACAATTACAGGATAATGGTAAATGCTAAAACATGGCATAATTACATGGCAAAGTTTGCAAACATTAACAATCACTAATGGGCACTGGGTGTATTAAATTAAGCGGGGATGTGTTTTATTTCTAAACTTTTCATTTGTAAGAAAAAGCACATGTCAATTCTTCTTTCAAATGTTACGCATGTCTCACTTCAACTCGTGGCTGTGTACTAACTTGTGATTCCGCTGAACCACATTAAAACTGCAGTTAAACTGGTTGTATGGCACCATAAGTCATCGCTCACACGTGAGTTAGAGAAACAAGGAAAGAGTTTAGCAATGCCACTGGAATAATATACAATATAGTCTAGTTGTACGTTTGATTATCACAAATATATACGCATAAACTATTAATCTTTTTACCATCCTATACTTTTAATATTTTTTTTTGGCCCTACAATGGAAACCCTACAGTGGACTGCATGAGACCGTAGTCCACCAATGAAATGTAAAATGTGTTTGCTTACATTACACGTGTAGCGAAAATTGGTTATACGTCAACAGTATGCTTTACTACGTGTGACTTATAGCCTTCAGTTATAGCAGCAGTTCAACAGGTTTCTGTCTTGTCTTGTCTTGTCTTAACATCTTCACTTATGGATTCTTATAGATGTTTTCACTGTGAAGTCAGAAATCACCTGCGGCACCTTTTGAAATGTAACTTTACATTTTTATTAGTCTCATACACATGATAGTGTTGCCTTCATAGGATCATACATGAATGATTCAATCTTAATTGCTTTAATTATTTTTTTTAAATCAATTTTTAATTGAGAAATGAATAAAATGACTTGTATATGACTTGACTTGTAGAAATGACTTTTAGAAATCTGTCTGTATAAAGAAGTCTTTGATTCACGAGGTACACTGCAGAGTTTTTTGACCACTAGCAGAGCTATGGATCAGTGTTCTTACAGATGGGCCCCCGTTGTGTTTGGGCAAATAGATGTGGTGACCTGAGACACTGATCATGAATTGGTCTGAAGAAAGGCTCAGAGCCTCTCCTCTGATTGGCTCATCGTTAGAAGAGCTCCAGAGAGAAGCCTGAGAGACGAGATGTAAAACTACATTGAGACATTAAAAAATTAGCCACACTGTTGCACGAACCTTAAGCTGCAGCTAAGCTAAGCTAACTGCAAATCTCATAAGTACAGTTTTGGTATCATGTTTCCACACCTCGAGGAAAACCAGGTCAAACCTGTTGGAAAATACATGTAGAGACAACAGCAAGAGATCTGTGCAGAATATGAAATTTTGAAGCTTAAAGATATTTTCACCCAACAGCAACAACATGTAAATGCTGTTGTACAGGTGCTGATAGTTGATTAATGTCATATTACTTTGTGAAATTCCACTTTTACAATCCTGGATTTCTTCTAATCTCACCATATAAGGATTTTGTAAAGTTGTGGATGAAGGAGTCTCCAAATTCAAGTTGAAGACCTTTTCCTAATGTATTACTAAAATTACTAATTACTCAAATTACTAATGTAATTATTAAAATAAGAAGATGTTAAGATGTTATGTCACTCTCTTTCTCTCTCATAACCACATCTTCATTTAATGATTGACATGTTATGTAGTTAGGTAATGCTGAGCATTTCTTCCCCAGGTGTTGCCTCACTGTTACACAAAAATTGTATAATGGTAATAACACGTGATGACATGTGAAGAATACTGTAAGCAAATGCTCCTCCCTTGTCTCGGGGGCATCCTCTAAATTCTATACTCTATTTAAAGACTCCACGAATGGGAGACTCATTAACAGTTACTAGCTCTGTTCACATCTGTAGCCTACAGTCATCACAGCAAAAATGGGGAAAGTTCATTTTGAAGGCAACAATACCAAAGGAAAGAAAACTGAGTTTAGCTTAGTGCGGGTCAAAGGTACATGGAAGCGTAAACTGGGAAAGAAGGTCAATAAGGACACAGTGGACTGTGTCTCTGCTGCAAAAATGTGAGTATAACATTGCTTCCTACTCACACTCACCTGAATTACTTACAAAATGAATTACAGAGAAAATGTGTAATACCAGTGGCAGAGAAAATGGAATATATGAGTTCGTTTATTTCCTTTTTTGTTGGCTTTTATTTTATATTTGTTTAGATTTGTCATTCAAAAGGTAGGTTTTCTTCTACCTCTTCGATGCAGAATTTAAGTTGAGTTTTGAAAAATTATGCCTGACTTATGACTTAATTATTGTTTGCGATTTTCACAGACAAATGGTTCAAGGTGTGACATATAGTGGGTGCAAAGATTTTTGATATAGAAAAAAGAAAATGAATGCAACTGTGTTTTATGTGTTTTTTCCCTCTTTTCTGTAATTTGTTTTTCCAACAGTATCTTTTTTTTTCCAGTGAATTTTTTCTCAGTCACAGTCCTCTCTCACTCTTTTGATGTTGCAGGATGGGGTTAGGGGGGTAAGGGCAAAGAGGCAGTTACACAAGGGTTAAGTTTAGGCAAACACCTGGTTAATGTTGAATACCAGTCATTTTGTTTAGTATGATTTAAATCCCAGTCAAATCTGTTGGAAAATGACTGTTACAACCAAGCTGTTCAACTGCCTGTAAATGCTGTATAAACACTGGTAGTGGATTAATGTATCATATCAATTTCTCCAACAATAAAAACACATTTAAGAGCCTTGTGTTTTTTCTTCCAGTGACTTTTTTTTTTTCACAGTCACAGTCCTCTCTCATTCTTCTGGTATGCAGTTTGAGGGGAAGGGCAAAGACGCACTTACACAAGGGTCAAGTTTAGGCAGCTACTTGGATAATGTTGAATTTAAACTATTAACCTGGTGTTAATAGAATTCACATGAAGAGAAATCATGGAGGATCAAATAAACTGACAGCTGGTGAGAGTGTCAAGAAAAAAACTCTTTTCTAACAGGTAGAGGAGCTCAAGCTGGGGATGAGAGAGAAAGGCAGAGAGCAATGACTTTGTTAGAGAGGTCTACTGTCAAACAGGTTTCTGAGGATTTATTTGACTTCAGTGGATATCTACTGGCTATTATCATGTGATTAAACAAGAGGTCATAAAGTGCAAGAATAGATGTTTTTTCTGGAATCCAGGTCTACTGTCATTTATACGTAGCTGAGAAGACATACAGTTTTTGTCAAATTAAAGTAAACCAGTGTATCAGGTATCATGCTTCAGTTGGAGTTTGGCCTTAAGTTATATAGGTTTTAATCAGAGTCTGCACTATGGCAATGTGACAGCTGCTGCAAAGACCTTGTTTTTTAGGGGAAGATAACATATAATTCTGCTGTCAATCAACCTAACACCTTTTTGAAAGCTGTAAGAGCACACATTTGCTCGAGGGTAAACAGCCATCTGTCTAACCTTGTCAGCATTACTTAGGAAAGTGTAAGTCCAGATTCCTAACAAAAAAAACCTTAAACCATACTGAGCATTATTCTGTGAGCATCGGAGAGGAGCAGTTTAGTGCTTTGCCATGTTTGTTCTTTATGAAGAGTGCACTCTTATAACTTGTTTATTCAGCTGCTAGACAAAACAGGGACAAGGCATTGACGTTTAATCTCTAAGAGTTAAATGTGGTCCTTGAGACTTAGACAGGGCTTCTGTCTGACAGAGAAACCATTTGAGAAACTGATGTGGAAGAGACAAAGAGCCTGTTGATATCAGCTCTTGTTTTTACAGCTTGGTGAGGCTTGTAGGTAGCTGATATGAAGAATATGCACATCGCTGTTCGATTCAGCTGCAGTTTGATAAATGCATTTTGTTTGTTAGTTTTTGCAAAACAAGTTTTTCTCTATTCGTGTTTGATTGCAGGGCTACCCTGTTTCCTGATGCCTAAAGAGGTCAAAACTCCAGCAACACTTGCAGTAAACAGAAGAACTTTATTATAAGACCCAGCCAGAAACCGTAACACATCAGTCTAATAATAAGTTCTTCTGATTTTCCACATGCATCTTGGAAGTAGTTGGGATTTTGCCAGAAACCTCTACTTTGCTTCTACATTTTCCTAGTTATGTTTGACTCCACATACTAAAGTCAGTGTTTTGGCTTCAGAAATGATGCCTGTGTCTACCCAGTTTAATGCAGTGTATTGACAGAAAACCAGTTTAAAACAACTTCTATAATAAGTCCTATCTTACTCTGAAAGCACTGGCTGTATCCATGAGATTATAATGTTTTTCTCATGTGTTTTGTGTGGCAGCTCCGAGAGCATCACAGAGAAGGGTACCAGTTGGACAGTGGTCAGCCCCATCATCTTTACTTACAAGGTAACTGAGGCTCAGAACTTGCTGGACCCATGCAACGACACACTCCTGCTGGGTCACATCACCGACCCACAGCAGGTGGAGGACATTAAAAAATCCAGCAAACCACTCAAACGCTTTGTGGTCGTTGACCAGGAAGTCTACAAAATCTACGGCGACAAGATAACCGAGTACTTAGAAGCCAACAATGTCCTGTACAAGATCTTGGCTCTACCCACCACTGAGGAGAACAAATCCATGGAGATGGCCTTAAAGATCATAGACGAGGTCAACAACTTCTCCATCGACCGCCGCAGAGAGCCCATCATCGCCATTGGTGGAGGGGTGTGCTTGGACATAGTGGGCCTGGCTGCCTCACTCTACAGGAGACGCACCCCTTACATCAGGGTCCCGACCACTCTGCTCTCCTACATCGATGCCAGCGTGGGGGCAAAGACGGGGGTTAACTTTGCAAACTGCAAGAACAAGCTGGGTGCCTACATTCCCCCCGCCGCTGCCTTCCTCGACCTGTCCTTCATAAAAACGGTTCCTCGACGGCACATCTCCAACGGCCTGGCAGAGATGTTAAAGGTACGTTAAATATTTACCCTAAAGCTGATACACACTAGGGAATAATAAAGCCAGTGTATTATAGACTGATATCATTATATAATATTTAATGAGAAAGAAAAGTTATCAAGACTGTCCTCCTGTAAAAACGAGCCCATAGGTCATCTGTGCAGCAGGTTATTATGACTCATAGTTGCATTTTGTTGTTGGACGACACCTAGTGGCCGTAGTAATTATGACAGGAGCGAAGGGAAAACATAGTAGGCTATATAGAGCGATAAAGTCAGCATTAGCAGGTGGATGGGATGAATGGATGGGTCAACAAAACAGAGAGAGCAGTGTTTGGTTCCCATGTGAACATGTGGCAATGTGGTTGTTATTATTGTAACCATGACAACAAAGATCATCTAATCTTCAGGAGTACTTATTTCAACCCAAACCATGATCTTTTCCTAAACCTAACCATGGGGTTTCTGTGACTAAATGTAATGAAGGCATGAACGTTTATAATTGTAGCCATGGCAACAAAGGTCCTATAAGAACTATTTCAAGAGACCCTCCTATGGGTTGTATAAGAAGGTTGTGACGAACGACCTACATGGTTGTTCAGGTTGGAGGACTGGTTGTAGTTATTGTAGACAAGTGGGTGGCATAGAAGTCATAGATTAGGCGCTTGATATTGGTAACTTGATACGCTTACTGACTCTGAGAGACGAAGCGGTGAAGTCTTTCAATATATTTGCTCATTGAAGTTTTCTGTGTTTTTTGCAGATGGCCTTGATGAAGCACAGCGGCCTCTTTGAGATCCTTGAGAAACATGGCCGAATGCTGCTGGACACTAAATTCCAGGCTGATAACAGTGTCGACGGACGCAACCGTGTACAGGCTGCATCACAAGCAACTGGTATAGCCATCACGACCATGCTCGAGGAGCTCGCCCCAAACCTTTGGGAGGATGATTTAAATAGACTGGTGGACTTTGGACACCTTATCAGTCCAGCATTAGAGATGGTAGGTGATCCCTCACTTGTACTTAAATCCTTTGCTGACACATGCTTTGATACATATATTTACAGACAGATATACAGACACCCTCACATTGTCACACTTTTCTTTTCCGTACAGAAAGTTCTCCCATCTCTGCTGCATGGCGAGGCGGTGAACATTGATATGTCTTACATGGTTTACGTGTCTCGAGAGAGCGGTCTGTTGACAGAAGAGGAGAAGCAGAGGATCATCAGCTGCATGGTGGGCCTGGAGCTGCCTGTCTGGCATGAGGCCTGCACCATGGAGCTGATACAGAAGTCTCTGCAGGACAGGCTGAAGCATTCTGGTGGTCTGGCCAGGATGCCTCTGCCCGTTGGTCTTGGGCAAGCAGGTGAGAAACATATTTTTTCCAATGAGATTTATTGAATGAGCTTGTTCTTCAAAGTTCATGTAATATATGTACAGTTTTGTTAAAGCATGTTCTCTTTCTTCTACTTTCTTTTCTTTCAGAAATTTTCAACAACACATCTTATGAGATCCTGCACAGAGCTTATGAAAAATGGAGTGATGAGCTGAGCGTCTCCTCTGACAGCTGTTAACCTGACCATACCATCACTGCATCAGTTCAATGTGTTCAATCTAAAGTGTATGACAATATGTACCCAGTATTTTTCATTCTTAATATTGTTGGGAACAAATCGCTATAGTTGATATTTATGTATTGTATTTTCAGAATATGGACACAAAGGCCAATTGTGGGATAACTATATTTGCTACTTCCACAGGCCTTGGTCCAACATGTGTTTTTACTTTCTCTGCAAATAATGACACCAGATGCTGCCTGACTTGTCGATGAATTTCAACGGGTCAAAACAGATCAAAACAAAAGCTTTGTTATCCGTTACACTTTGATTATCATGTATGTATAGCCAAAGCTAGCAAGTGATGTAACAAGCAACTTACTAACTACTCTCTTGTTATGACTGACAAATATACCAGTAAAGTTTTTTTTATCATCTATCAAAATGTTTTTTGGTGGGAACACTAACAGGTTGTCTACAAAAACATGGCGTCATTGGACCAATCTGTTAACATTGAAATACTGAAATAATAATAAATTTAGAACAACTCACATCCAGCCTGTAATTGTAAAAATAATTTTATGTGAGTCATCTGAGTCTTTGTCAGAAGAATTCCCTGACAATCCACACATAATTATGAAGTTGCTATGGCTAATGTTAAGCAGACAGCGCAACATTAGCATAATTTTGAGTTGTGTTTCGGGCCTCCTGATAAATTTAAGTCCAATATTCCAATATTCAGTCTGCTTTTAGCTCCAACAGCCCCTGAGAAAACATATCTGGGTCTTTATTTTTTCTATTTTTTCTAATTAACTCACCAGCGACTTGCTAACCTTACCTGCTGTTTGGAATTGGGCAGATAACATAGTGAGTTTGTTAAGAGCATTCTGCAGCTGCTGAAAATGACATGACAAATAGTGATACTGATTAGTGAAGCCTGAGGGCTGAGGATCCACTGGTTTGTAATTCCAGGAACTTAACCCCTAAAATGGAGGGGAGCTCCATAAATCATGCTAGCTGTCGAACTGTTGAGTTTATAACCTCTCGAAAAAAACCTGACAGGCATAACTGACAAGTGCAAGGAATGTTCAACAGTTTCATACTTTTAAAAAAAACATACAACAAACAGAAGACATCTAAGCTGTTAACTTTTTTCCTTACTTTAAACAGAATACTACAAACTTAGCATAGCTGGTTCAATGTGAAATATTTCACTTTATTATATTACTTACAACCCAGTAGCTCATAAGAAAAGACTCGGTGCAATGTATTTCAGAAGCCACCAAATTTTGTGTAGTTTGCATATTTATGTTCAGTGACAGCAAATCCAAAACATAATGTCACAGGATGATGGAACACTTCAGAAAAAAGGGTTAGAATAGAGAAGAATAGACCTTACACTATAACAGGGTTTTAGGAAAATAATCAAGATATAGAGGTAACACACCACCTGTCCATGGAAGCTGTGTTTCATCTACAACCCTGGAAATTATGTTTGAATACAACTGAACTTCAACTGCAATGTGCTTTGTACAAAACATAATGATTATGTTCAGAGGCTATATTACAGAGGCATACACAGAGGCACCGTGGAAGTGGTCGGGGTGGATGGTGGGCATACAAAGCACATGACTGTCACACCAGAAACCTCTTGTCTGTGGTTAGCTTTAGGCAACAAAACGACTTTGGTTAAGGTTAGTGGTTTTGGTTAAACGTAAAGAAAAATGTTGTGTCTAAAGTCACTGGGAGCCTTTCCTCACCTAAACCAAGTGCTGTGAGAGTTTAAACACAACCATGAAAAAGTTTAATAATGCTGGCAGAATATGGTGTCTGTGAACATTTTACTGATATGTTCAGTATCAACATATTTGTGACTTGCCAAATATGTAGCTTAGCAACATTTCCTCATCAGGTTCATGTAAAATGTGAACTGGTCATAATGACGTTTCAAAAAAACATTTTAGAAATGTGTCTTTTCTTTTTAAGAGATCTGACAAAAGATGACATTCATAACAATTTTTTTTAGGGATGTGATGGAGGAAGTGTTTCTCAAGTGCACTGCTGCAGCTACAATACGTAACCCCTTATCATTCGTACCAAAGTTATGTTAGCTGTCTTCCTAAAGATGCCATAGATGCCATAGACAGATACAAATGCTATTGCAAAAAGAAAGGACGAGCTCAGTTGACTGAGGGTTATAAATGGATGTTGGATCTGGGAGATATTGCCATAATGACCGTTTGTTCACTGTTCAACAAATATGAGAGATCAATGGCTCTACTGTAGTGTTCACACATGAACTGTTTTTTTTTTTTCTTCTTGTTTTTTTCTTCTTTTTTTTTTTTACAAAAGGCCTTATATACAATATATCAGCATCAAGTGTTTTCTTTTACAATATTAGCAGGAAATAAACACACAACAAAAAACAAAGATTTCTCTCTTTATACATTCAGTGATACATGTGTAACACTTTTCTGCGCTACTGGCTTCATTAACAGCGCCTAGATTTGTTTGCTTTCACTCAATTTTAACCTTAACTGTACTGAACCTTTGATGTGTGTGACTGTCTACTTTGAGAAAGAATAAAAACTTTTCGTGTCTGTGATTTTACTTGTACCTCCCTTTAACTTTAACACCACACAAACCAAATTTAATCACACTACACTCTTTCAAGTTCCCAAATATAAAGGATTTATTAAACCAAAATGTGGCCTATGTAATGTAAAAATTAAAATATTTGACCCAAGAAATAAAATATAGACCCAGATGCCTCTTATGAATAGATTCCACAAAATAACCTAAGCTTACATCTACATCCTTTACACAATTTTCACTCTTTGTCTTTTTAACCAATTATGCAACTCAACAATGAAATTACATACATTACATACCCTTAATGTTTTTTAACACTGTACCTTTTTAGCAGATGAACTTTGCACAAAAGTATCTTTTTCAAACTCACAGACTCGGTGCAGGCCTGTCTGTAGCTAATGTGCGTTGGGCCACAAAGCAATGACGGCCACTGGATGTGACCGCATTTTAACCAGGGTTACTCACCCCTCCAGAAGTTCAGGTTACCTCAGTCTTTCAGCAAGAATGGCGGCTCTTCTCACCAGTCCTTTACCATGGATAGTTACCATCTCTCGCCATTGGACTCCAGAGGTGCGGCAAAGTCCCGAGGCTAACTGGTTAGCTCACCAATAGCTCGCAGCTAGCTACACAATAGCTGGCTGTTAGCTTAGCAGGAAACTCACACTTACTTCGTGGTTAAAACTTTAACTCAGAATAGCATAATTTACTCCACGGAGCTGGATAGCTTTCTGTTAACACTAACAAAGGCACTTTGACAGAATGAAAGTCCATTAAACAGGGAGTTTATCAAGCGTCATCATCTTCTCCGTCCGGAAATTTGCATTACTTCCCCTTTAAAGGTTATAGGTGTTAGAATACCAGAAATACCAATTTAATAACCATAAATATAAAAAAACACAAAAAATATCTTGGGGGTTATTTAATAAAATAACCCAAGGGGTTACACGTGTCTATAAAGCAACTGATACATCTGTGACAAAGGCTTCTGTGAGCCCTCATTAGCATAAAACATTTTTTATTCAGTTCTTCATTTTTATTTTACATTCATCATAAACAAAGAATGATGTATCACATCAGGAATATATAATCAATATAAGGTTAATTTACCCTTTTATTGTAATAGACTACTTTTCCTTCCATGTGTCTTATTTACCTTTAAACTGGGACATAAAGTATAAATAAATGTTAAAGTTCTGAGATCAGAATAAGAAACGATCAATAACTAGTTTTTGGGTCATTATAAATTTAAAAATTATACAGAAAAAAAATCTTAAGTACCGGTACGAACATAATGAGCTCTCAGTGAATAAAAGAAAAACAATACAAAATAAATAAATGATATTAATAATATAATACTTCATGGTGACAATAATAATGCTTCTCATTTGGTCAGTGTTTGATTTGTTATTTCTTTAGAATACATACAAGGACTCGGGGTAAAAAATAATCTAAATTTAAATAAAGAGTTAAGAAACAATTATTATTATTATCATTATGACATTTTGTCTGCAACAATTAAATCTTTTTTATTTCTGGCAAATTTGAACACAAGGCTTAAGTTTTTACACTTCTCTGCACATTTTCACATGGTTGTTATCACAGTTGCCATGGACAGTTCGTTACGCTTTATATTTGGGACAAATATCAAAAGTAAAAAAAAAATACAAGAATTAAAAAAGGGTAAAAACTGTGAAATCATCAAGTTGACCAGTGTTCAATGACAGCATATCGTAGACATACAGTATGTCTCAGTCAGATTGAATTAGATTGTCCTTTGTAGTTGTTCTTAACTGTCCATCTATAGGTAATCAAGATTATAGGACGGCATAAATACTGTGTATAATAGAGAAATGAAAAAAGGTCACAGTAACATATAAAATTTCAGCAATAAATGGACAAAAATAGAGATAAAATATGGAAGATCAAGAGGAAATTTGCTTCTCAGTTCCTTTATCCACTTAGTCATGTGTATACCTGTAAGTCACTTTAATGTAGGTGCCTCATTGATGGGATGCTACAGACAGAGTGTCTCAGTGGTGGTCATGTTGTCCACTGGATAATGCTAACAGCCATGCTCCTTCTCCTCCATACTAGAAGTGGAACTGTGATGGCTGCTAACGTTGTTGGACACATCTGGGGACATGGAGGACAGCAGGGGGTCAGTTGGGGAAATCGACGACAGGGTGTTGTCCCTTACCAACTCCTTCATTTTACAGGTCCTGGAGTTTCCATAAGGGCCAACATCCCCAGCATCTTCAGGGATCTGGTCAAAGGTGATGGTGCCGTTGTTGAGGTCCAGTGTGGTTGGAGGGGACATGTCGGGAGCCGAGCTGTGCTGGTAGAGATCTGAGGGACAGTCGCCGAGGACAGGCTCCTGTTTAATGGCCCGTGCCATCAACTCTGATGTGCAGACAGATGGAGATGACACCACTGTGAGACCATGAGCCCGGGCCTGGATCTCCAACTCCTTGATGAATAAAGAGATAAACAAAACATGAACCGTCTTACTCAATGCCAAAAATTAAAAATATGCACATCTTCATATATAGTTTTGGGAAAGGTGTTTATTTGTTTTGTCGCCAAGAGTTAGATGGGAAAAATGATACCACGCCCATGTCTGTACGATTAATATGAAGCTACAGACAGCAGGCAGTTCGCTTAGCTTAACATAAGGACTGGGAACAGAGGGAAACAACTACTTTTACTCAGAGGTAAAAGAAAAAAAATCTTGCTTGAAAGCACCTCTAAAACTCTCACACTTTAGATGTTTTTACACAGAGATGATAGTTTGTGGTTTTAAAGGGCACTAAGGGGAATGTGGGTTTGTACAAGTCCTACAAAAGTTGGCTGAAACTCATGTTTTCTGACTGTGTGTGGCAAATCAATCAATCAATAAATCAGACTTTATTTGTGTAGCACTCATACAAAAAATGTAACACAAAGTGCTTTATAGAATAAAAACAATACAGAACAATAAATAAAGCAATAAATAAAAAATAAAACAATAATAACATGCAGGAAGTGAGGAAACGCTATTGTGAAACACCAAAGGCAAGAAAACAAACATAAAGCAATAAAATCCAAAAAGAGCAAGGAGATGTTAAAACCAGAAATAAAAAGTAGCATATTAAAATGAAAACAATCCAGAAAATAAAAACAGAATAAATGGACATGCCAGTAAAATAGCATAAATTGTATAAAGGAAAAAGGTCTTGATTTAGGTTTTCTAAAACCACAACATGTCATTTAATTATAAAACATAAACATAAGATTTGCTCTTTTGTTCAGATTAAACCAACAAGATTGATTATATTAACTAGTGAGCTTTAGAGGTGCTGGTAGGTGGATTTTTTTCTTTCCTTTGGACAGGCTAGCTGCTTCCCCTGTTTCCAGTCTTCATGCTATGGTAAGCTAACCAGCTGTAGCCTCATGTTAAGGTATGAGATATGAGAGTGGTAATGACCTTCTCATCTAAATCTTGACAAGGAAGCAAACTAGAGCATTTATTGCATTGATTGACTAGTCCTTAAGTGCAAAAAAAAAAAAATTATGTCAGTTAAAATATATTAAATAATATATTATATTATATAAATAACAACTTCTTGGTCAAGGCAGATAGAACCTGCTTCTGCTCCAGATTTCTGCCTCTTAAAGAGAAGTTTTTCCTGGCCACTGTCACCAATTGCTCGCTCATGGTGGGAATCATTTGATCAGTAACCTGCTCTATATGAAAAATGCCTTGAGATCACTTCTGGTTTGATTTGATTCTATATAAACAAAAGTTGACTTGACTTGACCTTGACCCTACAATATTAATATGTCATTATATGCTTCTAATTACCTGTGATGTTAGGATTCTAACCTTAGCCTCTAGGCGTTGCACAGATTAATGAAATATCCTGAAACTGTTTGAATTAGTGAAGCACTATCTGGGCTCCGTTTACTGAACACCTTTGGTGGTTTGTTCCACTTTTTTCCATGATTTAAAAAATTTTACTTTATTGAACTATTTTGTTACTTCATCTTTTTCGCCGTGTCAGACTGACCCACCTGTATACGAAGCATCAGATGGCGGTTTGCGTGCTCCAGCTTCCTCTGTCTGCACTCGAGCTCCTTGGCTCTCTGCTGCTCCCGCTGCAGCTTCCTGATATAGTCCACTGAGGCTTTCAGAATGGTGCCCTTATTCCAGCGCATGTCTCTGGGGTATACAGGAGACAAAGATCTACAGTCAGAGTCAGCTGACCATCTGACCAGAACAGCACAGGATTCTTTACGGCCCCTCTGAGCAAATGAGCTCTACACTTAGACTTTAAGGACACTTGGACTCATGAAGAGGAGGATGTAAGAAAAACAAAAACAAAGCTGATGAATAGACAGACAAACAGACAGCTGGATGGGCACACTCATTCATACACATAAATACAGAGAAAAAAAAAACTCACGGGTCATTTGACTTGGGTATTAAAGTTCCCAGCTCTTTGATGCGGTCGTTGATATTGAATCTCCGTCTTCGCTCAACTACAGTTTCAGGAGAAAAAGCAGTTAGCACAGCAGCCTGGTAAACCAGTCTTTGCAGTATGCGTAGCTTTGCAGGCCACGGAATAACTCAGTATAATAAAAATATATATATATTTTACAAATGTTTTAACATTTTACAACTTCTTTTAAATTATAATATTTAAATCAGATTTTAGAAATGTAGGTTTTTTTTTCCATAGAAATACTACATGCAAAAAGGAAAAGCATAAAAGCTATGAAAATAGCTGAGCTATAAATATTGGATTGGTTGGACTTACTTAAATTGTGGTTGTCCTTCTTCTGTCTCTCTTTAGCGAGAGCACGAACTTCAGCCTCTGTGAAGCAAAGAGAAATGTGAATGTCAGGGCTTTTGAGAAAACGACATAATTTGATTGAATGGGTAATAAGCCAGCAGGTCTACAAAATGATCGCATGGTAGCATTTGATGTACTGTACAGTAAATCTGTCACCGTTTTCTCATGCTGCATAAACACAGCCGACATGAAATCATTCACACGTTCTGATCGTTACAGCAGAAAACAAAGCTACAATCATCACAATTAGCTTCTCGATTACAGTTTATTCATATTGTGTGCGATTCAGTCATACAAAAAATACTGCAGGTACAGATTGAAAACAGTTTACAAAACATCAGTCATCTTTTTCACGCTTCATTTTGCTTTGCTTACCTACTGGAAAGCCCTCTGGCCTTTGATAGTTTTCATACTGGCCACAGGATCCAGGCTTGTCCAGTACTTGCTTCATGCCAGGAGCTGGAGTAATTATGTGGCAAATAATTGACTTAATGGTATCTTGTGCATTTCCAAATTGCACACAATATCGACACTGGCTTACAGTAAAGCTTTCATCTGTACAGTATGATGGAAACGTGTTTTCTTACTCCTTGATCAAACAATAATTTACAATGCAACTGCAAAAATACTGAATCAGACCTTCAGACAAATTACAAACTTTCCATAGTGTGTGTTTTAATGTGATTTGACTACAAGATGAAGTGAGGTTTATTGCACTTGCTAGTCACAGATAAGCGTACTACATTGACTATCAAGTGATTATACAGTCTGAATTTATAGCTCTCACTTCAACTCAGCCCATATGATGCCTAAGAACAGTAAATCAACAGGGAAAAAAGAATGATCAAGTGTTTCTGTTTGTGGTTTACCTGTGTATTCCCTTTTAATGTTGGGCGGACAGGAGTTGCTGATGGCGAGGCCCGGGAGTGGAAGTCCTTGATTGCCATACACATCAAGAAGGTTGCCAGACACAGGGAGCTGCAGAGCATAAAACAAAATATCCAATGTGTCGTTATAATAATTATAAATAACAGCTGAGTATTGTATATTACTTAAGAAATGGACATCATCCCTTTGAAGTCATATTTACAAGATCTATCCTTGAAAAATTACCGGGTTGTTAATTTGGAGTCCTGGGTCCATGAGTCCAAGAACATCTTCATTGTAACTTGACTCCAAGCTAATGATATCATCAATGACGTCATCCATCTGTGTAACATAAAATCACATTTGAGTTCATGATTAAAAAAAAAAAAACATATTTGTGATTACAGTTGGTCAGGGTTTCTGAGTTTGATGAAGTCAGTGAGCGAGGCGTACTTCTTTTTCACAGTTGGAGCTGAGGGTGAGCAGGGCCATGGGACTGTTGGGGGCGCTGCTGCCGTGCCCGGGCGGCATGCCGTGCTCAGGGGGCTGGCTGGGGCACTGGCTGCCGGCTTTACCACCCAGGGTGGTGGACAGATACTGCCTCACCTGCTGCCTCTGAGCCTGCTGGATGTGGTACTTGGTGGGATTCTCCAGGTGGGACTGAACCTGCGAGAGCAAGACATAGACATTTGTAGAGATTTTCAGTTAATTCTTTCATCAAGTCTAGTATATGAATGTTTTTAGTATTAGTAGATTAGAAGACAAGGATTAAAGACCGCAAATAATGGTTAAAAAACATCAATAATCATTTTTTAGCAATCTGTGGAAACATATTTAAAGGAAACAAAATAACTGTGAATATTTATTTGAAATAAACATTTGAATGTGTTCAATTCAAATAAGTAAAATCTGTAAAACTAAAGATGTGTTTGATTCAGTTTCATGTTAAATGTCAAATCATGAGCTTTGCAGAAGGGATCAAGCTGTATTATGACGACTGGAAACTGAAAACACCATTTTAAAAGCCACCTTTCGAGTCTGACTGCTGTCATGTAATTTGTATAATTATGCTGTAGATTTTGTTGTAGAAATTGTATTCAAACAGATCTTTCTTCTCAAATTACATTTCAAATCTTTAAATTGCACAGGAAAACTACAGACTGATCTGAAACGTACAATGAATATTTTAATAGCGTCATTTTCCCACTGACACTGGCTAACTTTATTTAAGGGAGACTAAAACTCTCCTCTCCACAAAAGAGACACTGTGGAGCGTTTCAGCCGTGTCACATGATCTATGACCAGTTAAAGTCATGCAGCAACTCGACAACTAATGCAGCAAATACAAACAGTTTTGCATCCACTAGCGTCACTGTGTATCTCCGATAGCATCAACAGCTGCAAACAGTGTTGAGGAAGTGTGGCTAACAAAGTCACAGTATGTAATGGCACATAAGTAACTGCTATTTCAAGCATGAGACAGAGATGAAATATTAGCTTTATCTTCAGGTTCTGTCGTAGTCCAAAAATCTGTTGCTGCTTTTTTGTCTTTGTTTGTTTTTTTTGGAATAACATATATGAAATTAAAAAAAAAAAATCAACCCATCTCACCTGATAGTGGCTGTATTCAAGCATCTCCAACATGTTATTAGAGTGGTAATTAATAAAAACAATCTACATACAGTATATAATCCCTTTATCTTGTTAGCCTACAGTGCGGACGGCAAGCTAGTTTGTGCAAATATGAGAGCAGTCACTAGTCCTGCTTAATTTATCCAGGGCTGAAGGCTCATTAGTTATGCAAGTTAGGAAATGGAGGAGGACACCAAGACTCATCCTCCCACTGCTTTGTTGTTCCAGCTTAACTATGAATTTATGTCTTTATAGAGCCCATTTGACGTCACCACCTCCAGCGCACAAAGGAGTCTTTCTACTGGTTGGCAAGTAGTCTGCGAACTGAAGCTTGCTTAAGGCCAACTAACATTTAATCTTTAGTTCTGCTCATCTAGTATAAAACATTATTTGTTCTGAGCACCAGGAACACAATTGACACCACTGTTTCTCAACAGGCTAGCCATATTAAAACCCAAATGTATGGTGTGTTTACCAACCCACCCATTTTTTGGATTTTTAGAGGTTAACTACATTTAACCATGAATTGTTACGCAGTCACATTTGAAGGGTAAACAAGGTGAATGGCCTCATTCAGGCTGACAGCATTTTCAGGCTCAGTGGTTTCTGAGAAACATATTGAATTTGACTCTTCAGATATGGTTTTGTCCATCTTAGGTCGCATCTCTTTGTACTAGAAAGCGTTTGATATCCACCCTGATAGTTACAGCAGAGCAGCAGTCAATGGGAGTTTATCTCCTCCAGAAGCTTTTTATAGGCTTTATTTTTGTGAATCAGTTGATCATGGCGCCAAGCACAGTCAATGGTGCACTGCGAGGGGCCCAGAGGGCGTGGTGATTGACTTCTAAAAAAATTTTGCAGTCAGGGATGCGTGGTGGAGCTCCAGTGCTGGTGGAGACAAGAGTGAAATCACGACACATCCGATGATGCGGTTCCCTTCAAAAGTGGTGAAAGATGCGCAATCAGAAGGAGGGGGATGAAGGGCTGGAACCGTAAATCAATTCAGCTTGGGAGAGCAGTGGGTTCAGCCGTCAAGAATTGTGATATTATGAGGAAGGAAAGGGACATGCCAAAACATCAATATTTAGACCTACCAAGGACCTTCCATTTGCTCTAATATTTCAAAAAAAAAAAGAAAAAAGACCTGACCTGTTTCCCAACTCTGGCTTGAATCACATCCTTAAAGACTTGTAGTGGCTTCTCACATGAGGAGAAGAGCCCAGAAAACACTAGCCAGGTCTCCATAAATAGAAGTGAAAAGTCGGCAAAACGCAATTGTGAATGGTCTGTGTTCCCACTGAGTGATGTTATATAAATAAAGCAGGGCTTTCTTTCCTTGCGATATTGTTCCAATTAAACGTGACGATGAAGTTCCAGCATCTGCCTCTCAGTTGGCACTGGCTCCCTGGGGCATGTTACGGCAGGCGCCACAACTTGAACGCGAAAAAAGTGTTTCCATTTCAATTATGCGAAACATAATTGCTTTGTTGAATAGTCTGAAAAACCACCTCACGTGAGCATATCTTTTTTGTTTTTTTTCTTTACTCAGTTTCAAATTGTGCATTAAGCAGCTTAATGGAAACGCACCTACTGTTGTTGTAAATATTGCGTTGTAGTAAATAAAAAAGCAAATGCTTTCTCTTTTCTCTTGTCACTTAAATAAGAAATTCTGAATCTCAGTAAGTGTGGGTTCATTTGGTGAAATGGAAATAAATGAATCATGTTCAGGAGTAATACACTAACAAAAGCAGGGAAACCAAACATTGAGTTTGTAGCCGTCTGCAGAATGACTGAGTGCACAAGACAAGGCTTTGGCAAATACATCTGCTTTTACATGAGTGAACTTCTGGTGACGCATAAGGCTCTTTGTCCATAGAGTACAAACAGTCAGTCCATTTAACTTGAAATCATGCTCTACAAATGTTTAAGCACACAACCATCTGAAATTGTTAATATAAAAGAGAAAAGTCTTTTTTTCCAGTATTATTTAGTCTACAGTCAAATATTTTCCAATTTGATATGATGTTTAAACTGAAGTTGCATTCAAGGATAAAAGTAACAATGTCCATAGACAACTGTCTTTTGTTTTTATTTGAAATGTTTATTTAGGACATTTTATTCACAATGACTTGTTTGTTCCAAGCTCACAGCAACACTGGATGAGCTGTGTGTGCCAGCAATACTATCACTGTAGCTTTTTAGGCTGTAATTAATACTCCACAGAGGGATAACATCAATGTCACACCAGAGTCTTTTCCAATTTGGGCTCTCTAATTTAACCGTTGAGTACTTTGCCACATTTATTAATGCAAGTGCAAAAAATGCTTTGCTCAACTGAAGCATCGATTATTTACAGTGTTGCAACTTACATTTTGTCACCGTCCACGAAGATATGAATCTGCTTTCATAAGCAGAGCGCACAAAGAAGCAAGGGTTGATATACTGCATTGAAAGCCGATTTTATGCTTCTTTATTCACGATGTTGAAATGTAAACTCCCCACCAGAATCCAACATTTACCCAAGGATTTAAGCTGCCTATCACCTTCCTCACGTGTGATGAAGCCTTATCGGCCGTGCGGGTAATTAATGCAAACGTCTGCCGCTGCATCTCGTGTAACGCTGCTGGGACACACAGCATCGCGTCTTTGTCTGGATTATTGGAAACTCACTAGGAGCTGGAGAGGTGAGCACAAACTCAGGGGATGTGCCTCCTGGCTGGACAGAATCAAACAGAGAGGATATTCTTTGTAAACTCATAGTAGAGCGTTTCTTTGTCTCCCCCTTGACAGTGTGGCCTTTTCCCTCAGCCAAACCTTTGGGTTGAAGGGGAACTATTAACAAGGGATGTATTTCATTTATCCCTACAGCAAGCCGAGCTCTCACTTTATTCATAGACTCTTTGTGAGACAGAGGTTTATTACCTTCTCAAGAAGAGCACATGGGTCCATGTTTTAGACTTCTGCCCTGAGGACCAATAACATTTCGAGAGATAGTCGTCACTCCTTGACCCCTGAAAAGAAACAGATCCATTCATATCTCTCCGCCAGCTCCACTCGGTTTCTTACATCCTTGGCAGTCAGCCACACTTGAGGGCATTTCGTCAAAGGAGGACGCTAAACATTTACTGTCTGCTAAAATTTAATAGGATGGCTACATTAGAACTACTAGCTACTGAGATGTTTGCTTTCAAATCACATCAAAGGCAACCACTTGTCAATAACTCAAGTGCACAGCGAATGATTTAACAGCCACATGAATCATAAAGAGAGACATTTCTGCAGTAAAATATTACCCTTCAATGTCGCCATATGCTCTTATTCTTGGGAGCAACTGAATTCTTAAATGCATTAATACAGCTACAGTTGATTTGATGGTGATGCAGAGATTCAGCTTTAGAAAATATTACATCTTCATAGCTTTACAAACAAAATAAACCACAAATCTAAAGCAACGTTTATTGAGGCCAATATGTACTCAAAAAGAAGTACGTCATGTTGTCCACCATTAGGTTGGCACATGACGTGTTGATATTTCTTGTGTAAAAGTATAAATTTTGGGATAATGGTGGAGCTAGAGGATATATAACAGAAGTCACCACAAGACTCATGTTTCAGGAACAAGGCACAAACCTAATGTTATTAAGGACCCAGACCATCAGTTCTTTGATAACACACACACACACACACACACACACACACACACACACACACACACAGGCACACAACATCTACACTCATTACTCTGGATGCAATAAAACCTGAGTAAGTCAAAAGCTGGTAGCAGTAATTTATCAAAGCACCTGTTCACAAACATTAGCATTAAAACATTATTTTCAACTGCTTTGATTTTTCTGGGTGCGAACCAGCCCATCCTCCCTCCACCAGTCTTACCAGTCCAGCAATGGATTCATATCATTTACTGTTTTTAAACTTCACTCTGTTTTAATTTCAGGAATATAACTAATTTTTATTATGGATTATTATTACACAGTAATAAAAAAAATAACTGATAAGAGTATCGATAAAATCCTAAT